ATGCCAATTGGTATACCATCTATTCCTGGGGCCTTATTTTTTGCTATTTCCTTCAAAGCAGCTTGAACTTCTTCCTTCATCACCATAGGCTCTTGCTCAAAGTTATTTCATTAAATTCTTCTGTATCTGCCAATAATTTAGTGACTAGATTGACTTGATTGACTTATGTACAAGTCAATCTAGTCTCTAAATTATTTTTTTTAAAACAAAATACTCAGAAAACTTTCTTTTTAAAGGCCAACTCAGACACAGATTTCATTTATCCAAACATGTGTAATTCATCCTTACTAAAAAAGTGGTAAGTTACACGATTGTAATTGGTAAATTGTAAACTGGTGAATTACACGAAATACAAAAATTAAGACACCTGCTATGAACATAAAACTCAAGGCTACAATTTTAAAAGTTATAATGATGAATTAGAATTAGTTAACCAAGAAAACTGTTTCAAGGGAGGAAACAATTACGAGGGTTGATTTACTGATAAGAATGGTAGGTAAAAATACAGTTAGAGACCTGCTGGCCCAAAGTCTGCAGATTCCTTTCCTATTTCATTATGAGCAGCTCAGTCAATTAGTAAATATTTTCTTTTTCCCCCCCCTCCATTTTATTTTTTTAATTAATTTTACTGAAAGTTTACAGAGACTTAGAATTTCCAGTCATTCATTGTTGCACTTTTTTCCCTGTTGGCCTCTCACAGCCAATTTTTAAATATTCTGAACCACTCCTCACCCTTACTCGCCCCCCTACTCAGGATTATCAACTCTCTGTGACTGTGTAATACTAGGTAGCAAATTTCCCTTCTGTTCCTCTAAAAACAGTTTCTTTTTAAGAGATATTCTGAGGCAAATTAGCAAAACAAAGAATAGTTTTCTTTCCAATTCATTATTACACCTCATAACTTTTCTTCTACCAGGTTATGCCCAAGTGAATAGTCAATACTTGAAATTTTTCACCATCACTTGAAACCAAAAACCTAAACCCTAATGCTAAAATCTAGTTAATCATGACCTTAACAATCACACAGCAAAGACTAAAGACTGATCCTTTTCAGTAAGTTCTTTTAATTCTAGGTATTATTCTAGTCTGAATATCTAGACAGCATGATAATCTAAATATAGGAGAAGCATTTCCAAACTAAGTGTAACTTGTAATTTTGTAGATATGTCTTTTTTTGGTACTAAAAGAGCTATTAACATGCTAAGATGTCTTATGGCATGATGAATTCAATAGCATGTCCTGAGGAGGCATTCATTTGTAGCTGTCTTCCCTAAGATTTTTCTCTAGCATAGTAAACCCCTTTAAGACATTATAATTCTAGTGAAATCAGCGATTATATAAATCTTCCCTGATTCACTAAAATCATAGAAGATTTAGTGAACATATAATGGCAAAATGAGCAACTGAATTTGGGGGTTTTCAATGGCCTCATAAATGAATATTATTTATTCATGCATAATCTAGAGGAGTGTAATAGAAATATTGTTATTACAGATGTTGTGGCTATAAGCATCTCCCCTTGTATTGGGCCTCTAGAAGCCTTTCAGAATTTTTAGGTGCTATATGTTTTGGAAAGTCTGTGGTTAGGGACCTCTCCAAAATACTCAAGAGCAACAGTGTCTCTCAGGAGACTAAGGTGCACCTGATACAGGCCATGGTTTTTGCAATGACTTGTTATGCGTCACAGAGTTGGACAATGACTAGGGAGGATAGAAGGAGAATTGACGCCTTTGAGCTGTGGTGCCGGAGAAGAGTATTGAATGTACCATGGACTGCCAAGAAAACAAACAGATTCATCATAGAGAGGATTAAACCAGGCTGCTCCTTGGAGGCAAGGATTCTGGGGCTTCGTCTAACATACTTTGGACATGTTGTAAGGAGAGACAGGTCTTTGGAGAGGGACATCATGCTGGGTAGAGTGGAGGGACAGCGCAGGAGGGGAAGACCCTCTATGAGGTGGATTGATTCAGTGACTGGGGTACTCGGGATGGGCTTGTCAGGGGCAATGAGATTGGCACAGGATAGAGCAGGGTTTAGGGCTGTTGTACATAGGGTCGCTATGAGTTGCAAACGACTCGACGGCACATAACAACAACAACAACAACAACAACAACATATGTTTTGGTAAAATTAGACTCACTGTGTAGCTGTTAGCACTACACAGTTAGAAGCACTATTACAGGACAGTTACATGACCCTATATGGAAATGTGCTTTCAGGAGATAGTAGAAATAAAAGTTCCTACCTATATAAAAGCCAGACTTTAAATTTTAAATTAAGCTAATTGCATTTACACATGAGGGCTAACAAAAATCCAGATCTTGTCTACATAGATTTAGCTAATTATCCACACTGCATACATTTTTAACAACCTCATAGAGAGATTTACTTTTTACTGACTGAAGAAGTAAGGTCCACTACCATAGCTTATCAATCAAATTTTGTTGCTTTCTTCATGTGGTGCCTTTTGCAAGGCACTGTGTGGCATGGACGAGAAAACGTGGAATGACTTGTGAAGAAACCTTGGAATGACACATGAAGGATGATGCGAGAAGTCTTTCCAAGACAGATGCTTTATTTAATTGTTTTTAACCAGGGTATTAAACAGCAGGAACGACTTCAAGTTAAAATTCACTGGAGAATGGATACATACGTCTTAAGGTTCAGTCACTTCACATGCCCATCCTGATACTGTGAATAATCTGGACAATGAGAGAGCCACAGACTACAAAAACGTAGAGAGCCAACAGCCAGGGTCCGAGACAGACGCCTTTTCTCGAGGTGTTGGCTACATTGCCGCGCTGGGTGATGTTCTTGTGGTGCTGCTCATTGGCCATTCGGATCCTGGCCTGGCTCACTCACCTTCCTTTCGGCTCGTGGGGTCTGCGCCTCCCAAGCGGGGAGGCCTCCCAGGCGGGACGTGAGCTCCAGCCACTGGGCCTGGGCATGGAAGGCTTTGCCGGCTGCACACTAGCAGGCTTAAGCCACAAATGGACGGACAATGCCGGACCAGCCCTGCAAACTGCTCGGGTTCAGCTGCCAACATCTAGTAACTAGATTCTTGTGCTACAAAAAGGAGCCATCATGGCCTGGTTGTAAGAAGTTATGCTGCAATCCCAAAGGCATGCGGTTCAAATCCACCAGCTGCTCGTTAGGAGAAGGATGGGCAGTCTCCTCCAATGTGATTTACTGTCTCTGGAAACCTGCTAGAGGGTCAGCTCTGGGTCAGTTTTGACCCGAAGGTACACAGCAACAACAAGAACATAAAAGAATAATACACTCTTTGGCACGTAGTGACTACCTAGATGCCATTAAACATTTGGCTACTAATCAAAATAGTGGTAATTTGAACCCATCTAGAGGTATCTAGGAAGAGTGGCCTGGCAGTCAACTCTGGGAAGATTACAGCTGTGAAAATCCTATGGCGCACAGGTCCACACAGACACATTTAAGGTCACCATTGGACCAGAGGGCAATTAGTTTTTGTTTTGGTTTGGCACATAGTAAGAGCTCAAAAAGGGCCCACTTCCTTTTTGTTGCACCCCTCGGGCTTTCTGCAGTGGTGGAAGTGATTATTATATTCCTCATTTGAGCTCTGGTGGCACAGTTCATAGAGAGGTTTGCAGCTAAACTAGAGGTCACGTCTCTCTAGTGGTTTGAACCCATCAGAGGGAGAGAGAGGGGTGTCCCCTCCTGTGTGATTTGCAACCTTGGAAACCCAGTGGAGAATCCGCAGTGAGTCAGTTCCTACTTGATGCAAATGAGTTTGACTTTTAATTTGACCTCTGAATCTGAAATAACCCAAAGGTAGGTGGGAGTGAGTGGGCAATTCAGCCACCCCGACGCCCCTGTAAGTTTCAGGTCCTAAGAGTACCATCCTCAGCAGAGGCTCAGCGGATATGGGGCACCTACTGTGTGCCAAGCACCAAACCCTGTTGTTCCCAGGAAACAGTTTTCTGGCTTCATTCTTGCTGGCTCTGTCTACCATCTGGGGTGTGAAGCTGTTTCCAGGGTACCCAGAATGGTCCCAGGCCCTAAGTCTGGAGTAGAGCATGTCTAACCCACATACAACCCTACACCCACACACCAGCTGGAAGTTGCCTCAGGAGCAGCAAATACTCAGAATACCATCACAGACCCCCCCCCCCCATATATCTGGCCTTAACTGGTCCCTTTACCTTGCAGAAATTTGACTTCATCAATTAAAAAATGAAAATTGTTGTATGCCACC